CTATGACATTGAAAAGGATGTTAGACCAAGATTGCAGGCAATCCTTAAGGTATCAGCTTATTCATTAATATTTGATCTTAATAGTTTTCCTTCTGTACATTGCTCCAACACGTGCAAGTTTGATGACTCAGTTATCACATAAATGTGATTGTAATATGTTCGATGGACTGCTCTTAATATTACTAGTATGACAGACAAAGGTCATTTATCTCTCTCTCTCTCTCTCTCGCTCTCTGTGGAAGTTCTGCACCGAAGCGTGTTGGTAAGGATGTACTTGTAGATGATTTTGAAAGAATATTATCAATTTGCCCAGTTATTTTGGGACAGTTTTCAGCCTGAACTGATATGGGCAAACATGAACATAACTCTGCTGAGGAGAACTGAATCATAGTCTTAGAGTTTAGTAGAAATGTTACTGTAGGACTGAAATAATTTGCATACTCTCTCTCTCTCTCTCTCTCTCTCTCTCTCTCTCTCTCCTTTTTTTGATAAGTAATTTACATACTTTCTAAGTCCATTTGTTTACATGTGAATAAGTTGGACAATCTAGGAGCATTCATTTCTAGGCTGGTATGGTTGTTGTCTATTCATTTCTAGGATGGTACGGAGGGCAAAGATTTTGGGCAGATGTTGCTGAAATATCCGTGGATTCTTTCAAAGAGCATTCTGCAAAACTACGAGGACATCCTGATTTTCTTTGATGATGAAAAGGTATTAATCCTGATTATACTATTTTGCACATGATGCCAAGTTTCTCATTTGAGCACTTAGTTTTTGCTATGAATTGTCTCTGGTTGATTCTAGTGGGTTTTATGTGTAAAGTCATTGCAATATTCTAGGAGTCCCTTGTATCTCTGCATTTAATTGCCTAGAGCTGTGGTCTCTAATTCAGTGGCGGATCATGGTACGAGCAGTGGGTTTGATAGAACCCACAATTTCCAGATCGGACCCTGTGTTTATAAGTGAAAGACCACTATATATAGACTGCATATCAGTTTTGCGACCCACATTTTCAGCCAAGTAGCAGGTTTGACCCTATTTTGGGCTGCTCCTGCTGCATCACTATATGCCAGTAAGTTAAAGCGTAATATAGTTGTCACTTTGCTATTTTTTGTTTTGGGCAGGTGCCAAAAACTAGTGTAGCTCAGGCAATCAAAAGCTGCCCGCTCCTTTTGGGATTGTCAGTTAACAAGCTGAAATTGGTGGTGGAACAGTTCCGTAACTTTGGCATTAGAAACCAGAAGTTGGGTAAAGTGATTGCTACAAGTCCACAGCTACTACTGCAGAAGCCTCAGGAATTCCATCAGGTGAGAGTCAAGATGATGGTGTTTGCCTAACAAATTACTAATAGTACAAATGTATGCAAGATTGTGCTGATTGACATGGGAGCTTTAACATGATATTTTCGAATTATTTGGCGACGGTAGTTGTACAACCTCATCAGCATCTTCATTTTAGTAAATCTTCACAATACAAGATTTGTGAAGACTTCTTTTCCCTTTCAAAAATAATCTTCACAAATCTTGTATTGAATAATAGATGATTAAACAGTTTGGCCCACATAGCTTAGTTCAAGTGGTAAAGGTTGAGGGACCTCTGACTTAGGTCACAGGTTAGCCCTGCCCCATGCGAACTAAGCCTAGTATTTAAGTGGAGAAGGGTAGAGGGCCAGGTCCATTGTCCCCAAGTTTCGAAGGCTATGGTTGATCTTAAGGGTTGGCCCCAGACAGATTTCTCGGTGATCCAAAAAAAAAAAGATGATAGCACAATTATTTGGTTTTAAAAGCATCACATTCCTGATTGAAGCTCCATCATAAGTGATATTGATCTTGGAGTTGACTTCATATTTGTTAGGTTCTGCAGTAGTAGACTGTAAGTTAGTCTTTACTTTAAACATGCGGAGATGAGAAAGTTTCCCATATATGGAAAAAGGCCACATTAATTTGCTCCTTGTTGTTTCTCATCAATTTTTTTGGGCTCCTTTTTTGTTATTTCTGAAGTGAAAAGATATCCCTACTTATATAGATGATTAAAGGCTCTCTATACAGGGGAACTTTAGATTCTTGGGGTATTGCTTGTCTTTAAGGTATCCCACTTTATGTCAGCAAAATATATTTCTTTTGAAACAAAAGCAGCAGCAACAACAACAAACCAGTGTAATCCCACAAGTGGGGTCTGGGGAGGTTAGAGTGTACGCAGACCTTACCCCTACCTTGTGAGGGTAGAAAGACTGTTTCCGATAGACCCTCGGCTCAAGGAAAATGAGACAGAACTAATAGCAATAACAACAAGCTAATAGATAGTAACACGATCATAGACCAACCGAAGCGAAAGGAACAAGAGTAGGAATAAGAATGAGAAACCGAAATACCAGGTAATAAAAGAGAACGAAGCACAAGAAAATACAAGAGCAATATTAATACTACAGGTATGGGAAAGAAATAAGCTCCACTACCAACTATACTTCTACCTTAATCCTCGACCTCCACACCCTCCTATTAAAGGTTATGTCCTCGGTAAGCTGAAGCTGCGCCATATCCTGCCTAATCACCTCCGCCCAATACCTCTTCGGTCTACCTCTTCCTCGCCTCCTATCCTCCAGGGCTAACCTCTCACATCTTTTCACTAGGGCAGTTGTATCCTTGCGCTTCACATGCCCGAACCATCTTAACCTCACTTCCCGCATCTTATCCTCCACGAGGGGCACTCTCACTTGTCCCGAATAACTTAATTCCTGATCTTATCTCTTCTGGTATGCCTATACATCCATCTCAGCATTCTTATTTTTGCCACTTTCATTTTCTGGACATGGGATTTCTTGATTGCCCAACACTCTGCCCCATATAACATAGTCGGTCTAACCATCACTCTATAATACTTACCTTTAAGTCTTGGTTGTACATTTTTGTCGCACAAAACACCGGATGCGAGCCTCCATTTCATCCATCCTGCTACGATGTATGACATCATCATCAATTTCCCCTTGGATTACTGACCCAAGGTACTTGAAACTCGCTCTCGTCGAGATGACTTGTGAATCAAGCCTCACATCCACATCCGCTTCTTGAGACACGCCGTTGAACTTGCACTCCAAGTACTCCATTTTGGTTCTGCTTAACGTGAAACCTTTTGACTCCAAGGTGTCTCCAAACCTCCAGTCTCGCATTAACATTACCTCGCGTCTCCTCAATCAGTACTATGTCATCAACAAATGACATGCACCACGACACCTTCCCCTTGAATGTGACGTGTCCAAACGTCCATCGCCAGGGCAGATAAAAAAGGGCTAAGCGCTGATCCTTGGTGTAACCCCATCACAACTGGGAAGCGTTCTGAGTCCTCGCTTACCGTCCTAACCCTGGTCTTAGCTCCATCATATATGTCTTTAATCACTCTAGTGTATGCTATCGAAACACCTTTAGCCTCCAAACACCTCCATAGGACCTCCCTCGGGACTCTATCATATGCTTTTTCTAGGTCAATGAACATCGTATGTAGGTCCCGCTTCATCTATCTCCTAATGAGGTGAATGGCTTCCGTAGTCGAACGCCCCGGCATAAATCGAAACTGGTTCTCGAAAATAGACACTCTTCCTCACCCTTGCTTCCACCATATTTCCCCAAACTTTCATGGTATGGCTTAACAGCTTAATACCCCTATAGTTGTTACAGTTTCGGATGTCACCCTTGTTCTTGTACAACGGAATCATCGTACTCCACCTACACTCCCCGGGCATCTTCTTTGTCCCAAAAATGACATTAAACAACCTAGTGAGCCACTCCAAGCCTTCCCTATCCGCGTATTTCCAAACTTCACGGGGATTTCGTCTGGCCCGGTCGCTCTACCCCTGCTCATATTGCGCATAGCCCCCTCAACCTCCTCAACCTTAATACGCCTACAATACCCAAAATCACGGCGACTCTCGGAGTGCTCCAACTCGCCTAGCACAATGTTCCTATCCCTCTTCGTTCAAGAGTTTATGAAATAAGTCTGCCATCTTCTTCTAATAAGTGCCTCTGCCACCAATACTTTGTCGTCCTCATCTTTGATGCACTTCACTTGGTCCAAGTTGCTGGTCTTCCTCTCTCTCACCTTGGCAAGCCTTTACAGCTTTCTATCCCTGCCTTTGATCCCCAGTTCTTCATACAAAAGTTCGAACGCTGCAGTCTTTGCCGCTATAACCGCTAACTTCGCCTCCTTCTTCGCCTTCTTATACCCCTCCCTATTAGTCCTCTTCTCCTCCTCGTCGTTGCTCTCCATCAGTTTCACGTACACTGCTTTCTTGACTTTCACCTTACCTTGGACCTCTCCATTTCACCACCAGTCCCCTTTATGACTTCCTAAGTAGCCCTTTGAGACCCCTGACACCTCTTTAGCATCTTCCCGAATGCAGCTCGCCGTCGTGGACCACATACCACTCGTATCCCCACTACTCATCCGGGCCCCCATTGCCAGCAACTTCCCCCAATTCCTGAGCTTTGACCTTAGTCAAGGTTGACCATACGCCGCGCTCTTCTTCCCTCTTGCTTTTGATCTCTAAGTCCATAACTAAGAGCCTATGTTATTCTCGCTCGGGATAACCTTGCAATCTGTGCATAAACCTTCACACTTCCTGAAGAGTAGGTAATTAATTTGGGTCTTGGCCACTGTACTCTGGACGGTGACCACTTCCTTCTTCTTCTGAAAACTCGAGTTTGCTATCCCCAAATCAAACGCTTTAGTGAAATCCAACATCGAAGTTCCTCCTTCGTTTTTATCCCCGAAATCGAAGTCGCCATGCACGTCGTCATATCCCTTAGCTGCCATCTCGATGTGGCAATTGAAATCTTCTCATATGAGCAGCTTCTCAGTGTGCGGGATGCCACACACAACCTCGTCAAGGTCCTCCCAAAAGTGACTCTTGGTCTCCTCGTCCAAGCCTGCTTGAGGTTCGTAGGCACTAACAACGTTAACAGTAAGCCCTCTAACAACAAGCTTAATAGTCATCATCATGTCATTCACTCTCTTAACCTCTACCACTTGCTCTCTGAGATCTTTATCAACCAAAATACCTACCATGTACTTGCCCCTCACGCTTCTTGAATACCATAATATAAACCCATCAACATCTCGTGCCTTAGATCCCACCCACCTAGTCTCCCGAACACAAGCTACATTGATCTTCCTCTTCTGGCGAATCTTCACTAACTCTATAGATTTCCCCGTTAATGTCCCTATGTTCCAGAACCCTACCCTCAGCCTAGAGGCTCCCTTACCACCCTTGCCCCCCGGCCTGCCCAAGGACAAGACCTTACTCTACCATTACTTCCCACAACCACTATAATCCAAGAACTGCTAAGCTAGCACTACCACAATACAAGCAGATGGTGGAAATAATCTAAAATAGACTAAAACACAAGGATATCTAAAACTCAAAGGCACTACTACAAGTACAAGTAAGAAAGTGTTTCGCTATAACTTGAGGTCAAGCAAGTAAATCGGTCCGACAAAGCAAAGGCAAGGCAAAGAGTAGACAACAACAACCCTAATGAAATCCCACAAGTAGGGTCTGAGATGGGTAGTGTGTGCGCAGACCTTACCCTACCTTATGTAGGTAGAGAGGCTGTTTCCGGTAGACCCTCAGCTTAAGAATAGAAAAGGGAGCAATAAACAAACAATAACATCAACAAAGTAATAGGACAACAGAAGCAAATGACACAATATGTAATAACAAAGATCTAGGAATACGAAAATACAAGAATAGTGCCAATACTACCGGTAAGAATGACACACCGTGTAATAACAAGGAACTAGGAATAGGAAAATATAAGACTAGTACTAATACTGCTGGTGACACTAGGAGAAACTTTCGACTACATGTCAACCCGCAACCCTAATTCTCGACCTTCACACCTTCCTGTCGAGGGTCATATCCTCGGTAAGCTAAAGTAGTGTCATGTCCTGCCTAATCACCTTTCCCCAATACTTCTTTGACCTCCCTCTACCCTTCTTAACCTCTCATACCTCCTAGCCGGGGCATACGTGTCTTTCCTCTTCACATGCTCGAACTATCTTAGCCACGATTGCCGCAACTTGTCTTCCACAGGAGCCACCCCCACCTTGTCCCTAATAACTTCATTCCTAATCTTATCTTTCCTAGTATACCCACACATCCATCTCAACATCCTCATTTCTGCTACTTTCATCTTCTGAACATGAGACTTTTTGACTGACCAACACTCGGCTCCATACAACATAGTCGGTCTAACTATCACCCAGTAGAACTTGCCCTTGAGTCTTGGTGGTGTATTCCTATCACACAAAACTCCAGATGCGAGCCTCCATTTCGTCCATCCCGCTCCGCTACGATGAGTAACGTCCTCGTCAATCTCCCTGTTACCTTGTATTACAGACCCAAGATATTAAATATCTCTCCTGGGAATGACTTGTGTATCAAGCTTCACGTCCACTAATGTTTCTTGCATCGCAACACTGATCTTGCACTCCAAGTATTCAGTTTTCATCCTACTCAACTTGAAACCTTTAGACTCCAGGGTCCGTCTCCACACCTCCCACCTAGCGTTAACCCCGCAACACGTCTCGTCAATCAGCACTAGTACTATGTCATCTGCAAATAACATACACCATGGCACCTCCCCTTGGATGTGTCGCGTCATCACATCCATCGCAAGAACAAATAAAAATGAGCTAAGAGCTGATCCCTGATGCAACCCCATCATCACCGAGAAATAATCCGAGTCTCCTCCTACAGTCCTCACCCTAGTCTTAGCTTCGTCGTACATATCACTCTAACGTATGCTGCCTGAACTCTGCTAACCTCCAAACATCTCCATAGAACCTCCCGTGGGACTTTGTCGTAGGTTTTTTCTAGGTCAATGAACACCATATGCAAGTAGAAATAAACTAAAATAGGCAGAGAGTAGAAATAAAGTAAATAGACCAAAACACAAGGATAGTCTAATACTCAAAGGCACTAATACAAGTACACGTAAGAAAGTCTTGCGCTATAACTAGAGGTCAAACAGGTAAATCAGCCAGACAAAAGCAAAGGCAAGGTACAGATAAGGGATTGCCTATGCTATAACTACAACTAATATAAAGGTGACAGCAGAGGTAGGCAAATCGGGTAGACTACAAGAATCGATAATAACGATCAGGCAAGCAAGTATGCACAAACAAAACAGCAAATACTAAAGCCGGAAGGATAAAACCTGGATTGAAGACGGGGGTGCCAAGACGCTGCAGCCACACCTAGAGGAGGAAGTGAAAAACGACCCAACTGGACGGTAAACGAACCCGATTGGCCGGAGGGACTGTTCCGCTTCGAAACTGACTGAAAGAGAGGCTGTTCAGGTCGCTCTGAAGCTGCAACCACCGGAGGGAAACCCACACGCTGGAAAACTGTCCGAACAGCACACGCGCCGGCGCGTGGCTGGATCTCCGCCGGAAAATTGTCAAAGTTCGCCGAGACTCCGCCGCTGTTAACTCTCACACACACATGCAGAGAGCGAGGGAGAGAGAGAGAAATAGAGAAGAGAGGGGAGCAGAGGAACCGGCGGCCAGCAAGGGGGGAAGAACAGAACGGGAAAGAGAGAAAGGGAGGAGAGAGAGAAAGAAAAGAAAGAGAAAGGTAGAAAGAAGGGGAAAGAAAGAGAAGGAGGGGATCTTACCTGTGCTCGCCGGTGCCGACGGTGAGGTGCAGCGGTGAAGAAGAGTTGAAGAGTCGAAGGAGGAGCGACCGTTAGCGGTAGAGAGAGAGAGAGAGAGAGAGAGAGAGAGAGAGAGTCAACTAATTACACGAGACGAATCCCACTTTTGAAACAAAAGCATTTTAATAAAATATGTTTACCTATTTCATTGATGATTGACGGGTCTTTATACAGGGGATCTTTAGATTATAGGGGTATTTGTCTTTGTGGTATCCCCACTTTATGTCACTAAAATATTTCTTTTGAAACAAAAGCGTTTCCGTAAAATATGTTTATTTCTAAGAAGAAGAAAAGGATATAGTAATCTTTCCATGCCTATAGAATACCCTGAAATTGTAAAAGATTACTACCCAAGGACCATTGCAGCTTCATTACAACAGCACCATCACTGTGGAAGCTGAACTTAGGTAACCTTCTAGTAGTAACTGATTAGTCGAGCTCACACCTTAATTGGAGGCAACTTGAGAATATGACTACCCAACCTTTATCAGATTTTTTGATAAAATAACTAATTCTACTAATGAGGAAAGTTCTCGCATACAAGATGGGATACAAAAGGTAGAGATGAAATCATGACTCTTTATGAAGACCACCCAATTCTTCTCTACTAATCTCATACAAAAGCTAATTTCCACATACAAGATTTGGGATAAAACTAATATCTCTTGAAGGTTAAGCATTTACTGATATCCAGGTAAACCAGGTGTTGCATGTTTTAATCTTGATATGTGGTGATTCTTTGCTTGGGTTTTTACCAATTGGTTGAAAGTTTATCTATATGACATGGCTGTAAATGAATCTTTACTGAATCCTTTGTCCTGGCTATACGCATTGCTTGTTCTAGTTTGATATTTCAAATAAGTGAGTATTTCAGATATATGCATTCTCTTCCTCTACATCTTGATTTTGGCATGCTTTCAGCTTCATGGAGAAAGTGAGTGAAATCGCTTGTTAATAGTTTGATAAAACTATCAAAGTAAAAGTTTATTATGGTGCTTGAGCATCTTCTTTTGCTGATTACCGAAGAATTTACTTTGTTTTGAGTGAATGCAAGTAGTATAATTATCTCAGCACCTGTTATATAATTTTCTGTTTATCGTGGGAATAATAATTCTTTATCTCCAGGTAGTGTGCTTCTTAAGGGATCTAGGTCTGGATGATGATGTTATTGGTAGGATACTTGGTCGCTGTCCTGAAATTTTTGCATCGAGCATAGGGAAAACTCTTAAGAGAAAACTCAACTTCCTAATGGGTATTGGAGTTTCCAGACATCATCTTCCCAGGATTATCAGGAAATATCCTGAGCTTTTTGTATGTGACGTCCACAGAGCTTTACTTCCAAGGTAAAAGATCATATTCTCTGGTATATAATTAGGTTGTTCAAGATGCAGGTATATGTGAAAACATAAGTAACAACTTGACTGTCTGAAAATAGCTGATTTATGTCATTTTCCAAGAGTTAAAATATAATCTTAGAGAACTATTTCGTCCTCCATATGAATACTTACATGCGTTTCAAAAGGCAATTTTTTTTTTTTTTTTGGTTGATAATGGAAGGTTTTATTAAACAGAAAACAGTATCAAGCTGATACTGTGAAATTACATAGAGAAAGCTAGCTGAAGAATATTAAAACCCTAAGCAATCAAGCATCTCCAGCATGTTATGTAAATTCAGTACAACATTTCCATCTCTCCAGTAGTACACATAGTGGAAGCAATTGTATTTAACAGATTGCAGCTGCTCCTTTTTGCCATCAAAACATCTTCTATTTCTTTCATTCCATATAGTCCAAGCAATGCTAAGAGGAATAACTCTCCAGGTCTTCTTTAGGGATGGTTCTGGACATGCATATTCCCAGCACTCCAACACACTCCTGAACTTCATAGGGATTGACCAATGGATGCCGAAATTTGCCATGAACATGGTCCATACCTGCCAAGTAAAATCACACTGCACAAAAATATGATCCTCGGTTTCACAAGCCTTTTCACACAAGTAGCATCTACTGCACATAATCCAACCCCTTCTCGTCAGATTTTCACGAGTCGGACATGTTTCATGAGACACTAACCAGCCAAGACATGCCACTTTCGTTGGGACTATAGTCTTCCAGATTATTTTCCAAGGCCACTTTTGTGCTTGCATTGACTGACCAGCATTGAGGATTTTATAAAATGAACTGACAGTAAAAATTCCTTTTTTACTAGCTCTCCAGTTAAACCATCCTCTTTATCTGGCAGTAATTCTACTAATTGCATCTTCTGTATAAATGTATCAGCTTCTTGCATTTCTCTATCAAAGAGATTCCTTCTAAACTGGTAGTTCCATCCTGTATCGGTAAATATATCAGCCAAGACTACATCCGGATTGTAAGCCAATCTGTACAAGTTGGGAAATTGGTCTTTCAACAAACCAGAGTCATCCCAATTATCTTTCCAAAATCTGATCTTTTTCCTGTTTCCCACCGTCAAGCCAATATACTTATAGAATTCCTCCCAGAGATTACTAATTTGTCTCCAAATAGCTACTCCATAAGGAGTCTTTACTTCCTTAGGTGCCCAAAAACCTTCTTTCCCATATCTCACCTCTATCAATTCTTTCCAGGGAGCATCTTTCCCGTCATTTAACCTCCATAGCCATTTACAAACCTAACTCTGATTATGGGCTCTTAAATTTCTAACTCCCAGCCCCCCTTCCTTCTTATGTTTTGTTACTACGCTCCACCTTACTAAATGATATTTTCTCCTTTCTTCATTACCTTCCCATAAGAATTGCCTTCTGATTTTATCAATTTTCTTCTCCACGCTAACTGGCATAGGAATCAGAGACATTAGATAGGTTGGTATGCCATCAAGGACAGTATTTACTACGCTCCACCTTACTAAATGATTTTTTCTCCTTTCTTCATTACCTTCCCATAAGAATTGCCTTCTGATTTTATCAATTTTCTTCTCCACACTAACTGGCATAGGAATCAGGGACATTAGATAGGTTGGTATGCCATCAAGGACAGTATTTACTAATGTCAATCTGCCCCCAAATGATAAGTACTGCTGCTTCCAAGGAGCCAACTTCTTTAAACACTTCTCGGCGACTCCATTCCATACAGATTTGTTTTTGAATTTATGCACCTAACGGCAGTCCCAGATAGGTGGTAGGAAATTTTTCAACTTTGCAGCCCATAATATCACTATATCAGCCAGCATATTTACATTACTGTCGGCATTCAAAGAAAACATTGAACTCTTGGCTAGGTTGATTTTCAGTCCCGTTACTGCTTCAAAAGCCAGCAAAACCACTCTCAAATGCAGCACTTGTTCTCTTTCCGCCCCACACATTAGCAATGTATCATCAGCATAAAGGCTATGAGAGACTTCTATACATTTTCCTGACTGACCCTCCATTTTAAAGCCTTTTATCCAGCCGCTTCTCACGGCAGTTTTGATCATCTGACTCAATACCTCCATTACTAAAAGGAACAAATATGGAGACATCGGGTCCCCTTGTCTCAAACCTCTTTGGGAATTAAAATACCCTATTGGACTGCCATTGATAAGAATAGAGAACTTAGCAGTGGAAACACAATTTTATCCATTGAATCCATCTCCCTCCAAAATTCATCTTCTCCAGAATCTTCAATATACAAGTCCAACTGACATGATCATAAGCCTTTTCCAAATCTAGTTTAAACACCACTCCAGACAATTTCCTTTTCCAATAGTAATCAATGCATTCATTTGCCAAAAGTGATGCATCTGCTATTTGCCTACCCTTCAAAAAAGCATTCTGATTTACAGATACCAGTTTATTTATTACAAGCTTCATTCTCTCAGTGAGAACTTTAGCTATCAACTTGTATATGCTCCCAATCAGACTAATAGGTCTGAATTCCTTAATGTTGGCAGCTTCTTTCTTCTTTGGAATTAAAGCAATAAAGGTTGAATTCAAGCTTTTTACAAATTCTCCTTCCTTGTAAAACACTTCAAATGTCTTCAGAACATCTTGTTTCACAATATACTAACATTTCTTGAAGAAACACATATTAAAACCATCCGGACCAGGTGCCTTATCCCTTTCCACCATATTAATAACTCTTGTTACTTCAGCTTCATCAAAAGGTCTCTCCAACCATTCTTTCTCCTGGTCACTGATTGTAGCAAGCTCAGGGCATGTCCATGAGGGTCTCCAGCTCTCCTTCTCTGAAAAAAGATATTTGTAGAATTCAAGGATGTGATTTTTAATCATATTCTTATCTTCGGTGAACTCCCCATCAATTTGTAGCTTGTCTATCCAATTATGTCTCCTGTTTGAATTTGCTATTTTGTGAAAAAATCTAGTGTTTTTATCCCCCTGCTTGATCCATAGAAATCTGGAATTTTGTTTCCAATGTATCTCTTCTGCTTTGGCTATATCATGCAATTCCTTAGTTAATGCTATTCTATCAGAAACTTCTTCCTCTAAGTTACTATTCTGATTATCACTTTGCCCCCTCCTGTCCAATTGTTGCAAAATCTGTTCTTTTCTTCTCCCCAGGTGACCAAAAATTTCTTTGTTCCACTTCTTTAAATCATCTTTTAACTTTCTGAGTTTTTTTGCTAGAACCACATTTGGTCTACCTTGGAACTCATAAGAATTCCACCAACTCTCCACCGTGGACAGGAAATTAGCATGTTCAAACCACATGTTTTCAAACTTAAAGTACCCCTTTTTTCTTTCTCATTCTCCAATATTGGACAATGATCCGACTCTACCCTAGGTAGCACCCTTTGTTTGATGGCTTTGAAGGAATCATCCCACTGTCTTGATACCAAAAATCTGTCTATTCTCGATGCTGATTCGTCATTATTCCCTCTGAACCATGTGAACTGTCCGCCATGTAAAGGAAGATCAATAAGTTCCATATCATCAATGAACCTTGCGTTTCAAAAGGCAAGTTAAAGTAACTTTTGTAGTTTATGAATAATTAAATTCTTTTATAGTTCATATTGCTGATCCCGACTTGTTTGGGAATTTGATGTAGTTGATTGATTGATCCATATGAATTTTTAAATTCATTTTAGAAAGAGAACTTATTCCAAGTTCAAATTAAATTTGCACTGGGTCAAGTTTACCCTCAACGAGCAGAATAGTACTATCAATTTGGAACAAATGAAGTAGATAACAGCATCTTGCGATGCTGCAATTTCAATCTAGTTTTACATTTTGCAGTCCGTATAAAAGACAAACAGTTATTGGATAACATACAGAATATAGGCTTTTACAGATTTGCCTGGTTTGCTAAGCACACAAACAAAATTCCTAGTGCGAGAATAGTACCTTGTGTTGTGACGATGCTTTTCTGATTTTCATTTTGAGCAGAATGACGTACTTGATGCATGTTGGGCTTTCGAAGAGGGAAGTAGCACTAATGGTCTGCAGGTTTTCACCATTGCTCGGCTACAGCATAGACAAAGTTCTCAAGCCTAAGCTAGAATTTCTGATGAACTCAATGGAAAAACCATTAAGTGATGTAGTTGAATACCCGAGATATTTCAGCTACTCGTTAGAGAAGAAGATAAAACCTAGATTTTGGGTGCTCAGGGGCAGAAACATGGAATGCAGCTTGAAAAGTATGTTGGGCAAAAATGATGAAGAATTTGCTGCAGAGTTTGGAGAGAGGAATATGCTTGTTCCCCCTGTTTAGCTCTGATTGGTACTTTTCTAGTGTTGTTTTAATATTTAAGTACATGCACGAATGTGTAGATAGCTGGTGGTGCATGTGCACAGGTTACTCGGTTGATTTTTCTTGTGAATAATATCAGATCACATCACTTGTGGAGTTCAATCTCACTAGGCCTGCAGCTGTTGTTTGGGGTTCGTGTTGTATAAGAAATCCTTTTTTTTTGTTTTGTTTTGGGAATGTTGTCCCCTATGGTTTTTACAAAACAATTTTTACAAACGGGTTCATGATAGTGAGTTTTCCTACTTCTAATAAGAGGGAATAGCAGGCACCGTCAACATGCCTGTCAGCCTGTTTACATTAAGGGTTTTTTGTGACATTTACAAGGGTTAGCTTGCTTAAGAGAATTGTACTCAATGCTTATTATTTGGACGTTATCAACAACTACACAAAGATGCCCGCCTTTCTGTGCACGTTGAAACATCCAGGCACAACTGTACTTTGAGGGCCCATGATCATATTTTTTTAATGGCGGGACAACAATATTTTTTCATTGACACGTTAGCACCTTTCTTGCTCTTATACTTTGTACAACATGATTTCTTTCATTTTTGAATGGCGAAATACATAAAGAACCTGTTTAAGTTGTCGCACCACCTTAACTGAATTCATTTTCAGTTAGACACTTTAAGTGGCTATTAAGCGTGCCTTGTAAACACCTCGCGCTGACACGGCAATTCAGTTGTGTCTCAATTAAAATTGAGCGCGTGAGGACTTCTATTACAGTTTTTTTTTAATTTTCAGTTTAAATTATTTTTAAGTGGGGCCCACACCATATTTATTTTTTCTTCGAAATTATTTCCACTTCTCTCCCAAAAATTTCAGTACAACCAACAAACCTTCCTTAGCAAAGCCCAAGGTTGACTAGCAATAATCAGTGAAAAACAAGTGATTTTTGTCCGAGTTCATCATGCCGCCCATTTGTTAAACCTCCAATTTGTATTGAAATTGGAGAATATTTTGCTTAATTGGTGAAGAAACCCAGATGAGACAGATTCAAAGAAAACAAAATAGATATTGAAGATCTATTGGGTTTCTCTTTTCGTTTCCTATTCTTTCCGTCCAGTCAGTCCTCCGGCTGCTGCCGTCACTACCGTCGCCGTCGTCTCAGCAATTTCCATCGCCGCCACCTGCAAGTGATTTGCACACTTGTTTACCGTTGTCGTTTAAGAATTATTTCTCAAGATCTTGAATTTGATTCATCTTTTTCTTCAAAATTTTGGACAAAATTTCCTTTCTAATAACCACTATATTAAAAATCAGAGTTGGAGAAAAATACATGTAATAATAATGAGAGAAGCCTACTGGAAATTTTTAGGCTTTATGTTAAAGATAAAGCAAAGCTCTTGTTGGGAACATGTAGAAGAAAAATATTGAGAGAAGAAATGGAGAAAAATCGAAAATTAAAATGGGGGTGGGGAAGAGGATGAGCTGTTCTTTTCCATGGAAGACAGTGAACTTTTTGTAAAAAAAGGGAAATTGGTTTTTAGTTTTTTCCTGTTTTTTCAATTATATGTGATAATTTTTTTTATTTAAAATTACATGTGTCATTATTTGATTGGCTGACTAGGTCGGTATTTACTTGATACACTCAATAGCCACTTAAAATGTCTAACTGAAAATGAACTCAGTTAAGGTGACTGTCTGATTGTTGGGGACAATTTAAAGGGGTCGAGGGGCCGTTTATGTATTTCATTTATGTATTCTTTATTTAAAACTTGAGAATTACATTCAATTAATTCAAAGAACTGATATTTGAAATTTGTAACGTAACGTAGTTTTTTTTATTTATTTGAAATAAAATTTACATATTTAGAAACTCGTAAAAAATACTGTAAGTTACAATAATTAATAATTTAAAATATTTTAAAGGCTTATGAAATAATTACAGTCAAAATATAATATGTTCGACTCTTGGAATTTGATCACTTTCACTTTAATTGAGAGGGAGGAGTAATATTTAAGAACTGTTAGGTTCTATCAGATGAATTTATCAATCTGCTCCTGTAGGAATTAACTATAGTATAGTCCTCCAAACTTTTCCTGCCAGTTTCTACATTAGACCCTTAACTTTTTCACTGAAGGCCTATACTGTATAAACCATACAATTTATTGTAGAAGATCGTTGCTATAATCTTAACATATAGACTTGAAAATTAGCTATTAACTCATTTCAAATTAAAGTGATTTGACTGGAAAAGTAATGTTTTGGTAATTCATGAAGAATTAGTTTTGTTTTATAAAATTTGAAAAAAACATCAAAATACAATTAAATATTTTTCTATGGAGAAAGTAAGTAAAGTCCTATTGAGAAAATATTATTTTCTCTAAGCGCAGTTAGGTGATATAAAGTAAAAAAAAGAGTACTTAAATGAGAAAAAAATAATAGAATATTTAGCAATATTTATGAGTTTAACATAAATATCTCAAGGTTAGATTATATTTATTAGTAGCTTTTGTTCGTTTATGCTTATATATGAAAAATGATTAATTGATGCGAATTTCGTTTAGACATCATTAGAAATTCAAAAAAAAATTATTTGAATTTGGAATTACATAAAATTTTACTTTCGTCTTCTCAGAAATTCACAAGTTCATGTCTTAGCATATATTTTAGGCGCATGTACTCTAAAATTTATTCTTTTTAAACGTGAACTTCATAGTAAACAAAAAATAGAGTTTTTTTTTGTAAATTAAAACTAATATTTCTTTTCTTCACAATAAATTAAAATTGATCTAACTTCAGCATATTTGTTTCTAAAATCTTATAAAAATAATACTAGAGTCCTTTTTGGTAAACAAGAGAAGCTCATGTTTTTAAATTAAAATTGATCTTTCATTGCGGTCATCTTGCCGTTTCTGCGAACACTGGACAGCCTGGGCTGCGCCGCTTCTGTGGTCCATGGCTCGCTTCTGCGAGCTCGCACCTGCGGCTAACCCTCCGCAGTTGCGATTACACCAGAAACCTAGTGCTTCAGCTCTTCTTCCAAGTCCAAACTTGGTTCGTGCCTAGTCCGATTGACACCCGAGGCCCCCCGGGCCCCGCCCAAACATACCAACAAGTTTGAAATCATAAAATTAACTCGCTCAAACCCTCGGAACGCGTAAAACAACATCAAAACTAAGAATCATACCCTAAACCAATTCGAATCAACTTATGAACTTTAAGTTCTTCCAACTTACTCCGAATGCGCCAAAACAACCTTAGACTACTCGGAACGACACTAATTTTTGCGTGCAAGTCTTAAATCACCATACAGAACTATTCCCAGTCTCGGAATTCTAATTGGACCTCGATAACACCAAATCCTATTTCAAACAAAATTTAAAGAACTTTAAAACCTTCAAAGAGTCAACTTTCACTAATAGGTGCCGAAACGCTCCCAGGTCATCCAAAACCCGATCCGAACATACGCCCACGTCCAAATTTATCATACAAATCTATTGGAATCGTCAAATCTCGATTCCGAAGTCGTTTACTCAAAACGTTGACCGAAGTCAAACTTAGCCTTTTAAAGCCAAACCATGGAACCAAGTGTTCCGATTTCAACCCGAACCCTTCCCAATCCCGAACTAACCATCCCCGCAAGTCATAAAACAGTAAAAGCACATACGAGGAGTCTTATTTGGGGGAACGGGATTCTAGAAAGTAAAACAACCGGTCGGGTCATTACATTATCCACCTCTTAAACAAACGTTCGTCCTCAAACGGGTCTAGAATCATACCTGGAGTGATGAATAAGTGTGGATATCCTCTTCGCATGTCCTCCTCGGACTCCCAAGTCGCCTCCTCGACTGGTTGGCCCCTCCACTGAACCTTTACCGCAGAAATCCTCTTGGACCTCAACTGGCGAACCTGCCTATCAACAATGGCAACCAGCTCCTCCTCATAACCCAGGCTCTCGTCTAACCGAATCGTACTGAAGTCTAACATATGTGACCTGTCGTCATGATACCTCCGAAGCATAAACACGTGAAAAATCGGATGAACTCCTGATAGACTGGGAGGTAATGCAAGCTCATAAGCAACCTCCCCAACTCGTCTCAACACCTCAAATTGGCCTATAAACCTTGGGCTCAACTTGCCCTTCTTCCCGAACCTCATGATCCCCTTCATCGGCGAGACTTTCAAGAGAACCTTATCGTCTACCATAAATAATAAATCACGCGTCTTCTAATCCGCATAACTCTTCTGTCTGGACTGTTCTGTGCGAAATCGCTCTTGAATCAACTTTACCTTTTCCAAGGCATCCTTCACCAAATCAGTACCATATAATTTAGCCTCGTCGGGCTCAAACCATCTGATGATAGAACGACATCGCCGACCATATAAAGCCTCAAATGGAGCCATCTAGATGCTGGACTGATAACTGTTGTTGTAAGCAAACTCGGCCAAAGGAAAGAATCGATACCACTGCCCTCCAAAATCAATCACAAACGCTCTGAGCATTTCCTCCAAGTTCTGAACTGTCCGCTCTGACTGCCCGTCGGTTTGTGGATGAAATGATGTGCTGAGCTCTACCCGGGTCTCCAACTCACTCTGTACTGCCCTCTAGAAATGCGAAGTAAACTGAGGGCCTCTATCTGATATGATGGAAACAGGCACACCATGTAGCCGAACTATCTCCTGAATATAATCTGGGACAACCTCTTTGAAGTATACATGGTCACAATCGGAATGAAGTGTGCCGACTTGGTCATCCTATCGACAATGACCCACATTGCATCAAACTTTCGCAAGGTCTGCGGCAACCCAACTACGAAGTCCATAGTAATACACTCCCACTTCCATTCAGGTATAGCCATCTACTAGAGTAGGCCACCTGGCCTCTGGTGCTCATACTTAACCTGCTGGCAATTTAGACACCTTGTAACATACTCAACTATGTACTTCTTCATCTGCCACCACCAATAATGCTGCCTCAGGTCGCGATACATCTTCGTAGCACCTGGATGAATAGAATACCGAGAACTATGTGCCTCCTCTAGAATTTTCTCCCTCAAGCCATCGACATTAGGAGCTTATAGGAGACCCTGGAGTCGGAGAACACCATCCTCGCCGATAGTAACCTCCTTGGCACCACCATGTAGTACCGTCTCTCTGAGAACCAACAAGTACGGATCATCAAACTGTCGAGCCTTGATCTGCTTCAATAGTGAAGACTGGGCAACGATGCATGCAAAAACTCAGCTGGGCTCTGAAATATCCAACCTCATAAGTCTGTTATCCAAGGACTGAATGTCTAAAGCTAAGGGCCTCTCCTCTACTGAAATGAATGCCAAGCTACCCATACTCTCCGCCTT